GAGACGGATTTCACTCTGTCACCCAGGCTGGAGTGCAGTGGTGCAATTTCAGCTCACTGCGACCTACGCCTCTCAGGTTCAAGTAATTCTCCTGCCTCAGCCTCCCAAGTAGCTGGGATTACAGACACCACCACCCCAGCTAATTTTATATTTTTAATAGAGACGGGGTTTCTCCATGTTGGTCAGGATGGTCTCAAACTCCCGACCTTAGGTGATCCATCTGCCTCAGCCTCCCAAAGTGCTTGGATTACAGGCGTGAGTCACTGAGCCTGGCTTAATTTTTGTATTTTTAGTAGAGACAGGGTTTCACCATGTTGGCCAGGCTGGTCTTGAACTCCTGACCTCAGGTGATCCACCTGCCTTGGTCTCCCAAAATGCTGGGATTACAGGCGTGAGGCACTGCGCCCAGCCATTTTTATTATTACTGTTTATTTTAATTTTTTTTTAATTTCTTTTGAGACAGAGTCTCCCTCTGTTGCCCAGGCTGGAGTGCAGTGGCATGATCTTGGCTCTCTGCAAACTCCACTTCCCAGGTTCACGCGATTTTCCTGCCTCAGCCTCCCGAATAGCTGTGACTACAGGCACACACCATCACACTGGCTTATTTTTGTTTTTGCTTTTGTTTTTGAGACAGAGTCTCGCTCAGGGCCCAGGCTGGAGTACAGTGGTGTAATCTTGGCTCATTGCAACCTCCGCTTCCCAGGTTCAAGCGATTCTCCTTCCTCAGCCTCACGAATAGCTGGGATTACAGGCACCCACCACTATGCCTGGCTAATTTTTGTATTTTTAGTAGAGACAGGGTTTCACCATGTTGGCTGAAACCAACAGTACAAGACTGTTGGTTGTACTGTTGACCCTAGGTGATCTGCCTGCCTCGACCTCTCAAAATGCTGGGATTACAGGGGTAAGCCACTGCGCCTGGCTTCATTTTTGTATTTTTAGTATAGATGAGGTTTCACCATGTTTTTCAGGCTGGTCTTGAACTCCTGGCCTCAAGCAACCTGCCTGCCCCAGCCTCCCAAAGTGCTGGGATTACAGGTATGAGCCACTGCACCTGGTCATTTAACTTTTTCGACTCTGCCCAAGCCTGAGTCCTGACCCAGGCCCTGAATCTGCCTCCTGATTGAGCAGTGACACACCAGAATCTGTGGTCTAATCCGAAAGAAAGCCCTTGAGCAAAGAAATTCCTTAGTTTCCCTGCTTCTAGTCTGAGCTGTTGGTGGTTTCAGGCTCATATCAGTGCTCAGACCTCTAAATCCTCTACAGTGCCTTCCCAGGGAGTTTGGGAGTCAGATGACTTGGATTAAAATCCTAGTTTTTTTCCGAGAATTAGACAAGTTAAATACCTTCTCCTTTGTAAAAGGAGGAGAGTAGTAGTACCTATTTCACAGGATTCTTGTGTAGGTTAAATGAGACAATGTATGTACAGTGCTTAGCACAGTGCCTGGCCCATAGTATGTGCTCAATTAATTCATTAATGTCTTTCAAATTATTAATGCCTACTGATAGCAGGCACTGTTTTGAGTGCCAGGGACATAGGGGAAACCAGAACAGAAAATAAACTAATGAATAGGCAGGGCATGGTGGCTCATGCTTGGAATCCCAGCACTTTGGGAGGCTGAGGCAAGAGGATTGCTTAGAGCCAGGTGTTTGAGATCAGCCTGGGCAACAAAGTGAGACTCTGTCTCTACAAAACAAACAAACTTTTTAAAAAATTAGTCAGGCACAGTGATACACTCCTGTAGTCCCAGCTACTCCAGAGGCTGAGGGAGGATCACTTGAGCCCAGGAATTCAAGGCTGTAGTGAGTTACTACCGTACCACTGCACTCCAGCCTGGGCGAGAGAGTAAAATTATGTCTCAAAATTAATTAAATTAAAAATAGATAAAGCAGGCCAAACATGGTGGCTCACACTTGTAATCACCACACTTTGGGGGGCCCAAGGCAGGAGGATCACTTGAGGTCAGGGGTTCAAGACCAGCCCGGCCAACATGGCAAAATCTTATCTCTACTAAAAATACAAAAAGTAGCCAGGCATGGTGGTGCATGCCTGTAATCCCAGCTACTAGGGAGGCTGAGGCAGGAGAATTGCTTGAACCTGGGAGGCAGAGCTTGCAGTGAGCTGAGATTATGCCACTGCACTCCAGTCTAGGTGACAGAGTGGGACTCCATGTCAAAATAAATAAAGCGAAGCATAGAAAGCCAACTCCTCAGTACAGTGCCTTGCATATAAGAAATAAGCAGAAATGTTCATTACTATTTATAAACTAATGAGATTTTTGATGAATGAAGGAAGGAAATAAATAGGACAATGTGATGTTAAGTGGAAGAGATCTCCTGGAGAAAGGGAGATCAGGAAAGGCTGTCTAAAGAAATAGATTGGAGCTAAGACCTATAAGATGAGAAGAAACTTAGCTTTGCCAAGAGCCAGTGAAGCCCCTTCCAGGTAGATGGCAAGTGGAAAGGCCCTGAGGCAGAGAAGAGCTCAGAGAGTGGAAGGAACAGCAAGGAGACTAGTGTGGCTGGGATGTAATGAGAGGGAGAGAGTGGCTCAAGATGGGGCATGGGCCTAGCGCAGTGGCTCATGTCTATAATCCCAGCACTTTGGTGTGGTTCAAGATGGCCAGGGGAGATCTATGTTAATTCTAGCTAAGTAATTATAAGCTTGCTTGGCTCAGAGTACACTGAAGTTTATACACCAAACTAAACTATATTATTGGTGCTGTTAATTAAAAATCAAGCAGCAACGGGAGGTCTAAGGTAAACAGCATCAGAGAGCGCAGTAACACTGGGGAGCACCTCGGGGTGGTTGCAGAGTAGGCAATACTGCTCTGGATCAATGAGATTATGCACATAATAAAAGTGTTTGGAGCCCAGAGCTCAGGGCCAACATGGTCCTCAAGCTTGCATTAGTCCCCTGGATCCATGCTGTAACTTCTACTCTTGTGTCTCTGTCTTTATTTCCTTTTCTCAATCCCTTGTCACCACCGGGACTAAGGGTACCCACATACAGGGTTGGGGTTGGTACCCGACACTTTGGGAGGCCAAGGCAGGCAGATCACCTGAGGTCAGGAGTTCGAGACCAGCCTGGCCAACATGGCAAAACCCCGTCTCTACTAAAAATACAAAAATTAGCCGGGTATGGTGGCGGGTGCCTGTAATCCCAGCTACTCAGGAAGCTGAGGCAGGAGAATGGCTTGAACCCAGGAGGCAGAGGTTGCAGTGAGCTGAGATCATGCCATTGCACTGCAGCCTGGGGGACAAGAGCGAGACTTCGTCAAATAAATAAATAAATAAATAAATAAATAAACAAACAAATAAGGGGCATGAAGCTGGGGGCAGTGGCTCATGCCTGAAGTCCTAGCACTTTGGGAGGCCAGGGCAAGCCGAGGCGTGCCAGGGCAGGTGGGGGCAGAGGATGGCTTGAACCCAGTTCAAGACCAGCCTGAGCAACACTGCAAAACCCCATCTCTATAAAAATACAAAACTTAGCTGGGCATGGTGGCGTGTGTCTGCAGTCCCAACTACTTGGGAGGCTGAGGCAGGAGGATCACCTGAGCCCAGGGAGGTAGAGGCTGTTGTGAGCCACGATCACGCCACTGTGCTGCAGCCAGGATGACTCTGCAGTGAGACCCTGTCTCAAACAAAAACAAAAACAAAAAAACAAAGACGAGGCACAAGGGACACAAAGGGCAGGTCATGGAGGGTAGTAGTCATGGAAAGGAGTTTGATTTTCTTCTAAGTGTGATGAAAAGCCATAGGAGGCTTAAACAGGAGAGTTACAAGATCTGACTTTTGATTAAAAGTTCATTCTGGCTTCTGTAGGGAAAATGGATTAGAAAGGGGGAGCAGTAGAAACCAGAACAACAACAATTAAGGAGCTATGAGAGTCATCCAAATGAAAGACGTTGCTAGTTTGGACTTGGATACAGATCAGCGCTGTCAACAGGACTTCCTGGGATGGTGGGAATGTTCTCCACCTGTGCTCATATGGTGGCCACTGGCTCCTAGCTCCCTGTGGCTCTTGAGCACTTGGAATGAGGGCAGTGTGGCTGAAGAATTGAATGTTTAATTTTACATCATTCTAATGAATTACAATTTAAATAGCCACATATAGATAGTGGCTACTGTAATGTGGGGTACAGGGAATTGGCTGTATTTGAAATATATTTAGGAGGCCGATAAGAATTGGGATGGTTGGGGTGTGGGGAATGAGAGAATGGAGAATCAAGGAAGATCAAGGATTACTTGGTGTATTAGTCCATTTTCACGCCGCTGATAAAGACATACCCAAGACTGGGAAGAAAAAGAGGTTTAATAGCACTTACAGTTCCACATGGCTGGGGAGGCCTCAGAATCATGGCAGGAGGCAAAAGGCATTTCTTATATGGCAGCAGCAAGATAGAATGAGGAGGATGGTAAAGTGGAAACCCCTGATAAAACCATCAGCTCTCGTTAGACTTATTCACTACCATGAGAACAGTATGGGGGAACCGCCAGCATGATTCAAAGTATCTCCAACCAGGTCCCTCCCACAACATGTCAGAATTATGGGAGTGCAATTCAAGATGAGATTTGGGTGGGGACACAGAGCCAAACCATATCACTTGGGAAACTGGTGGAGGATACTGCCATTTACCAATGGGGAAAAGCAGGCTCTGGGGCGATATCAAGAGTTTTGTTTTGCACAAAAGGAGTTTCAGATACTGTTGGAACATTCAAGTAGAGCTATCAAATAGAAAGCAGGATGTATACGTTTGTCATCATCCTCATCTTTAGGTTCCAGGAATACCTACGTTTGGCTGCTTAGGCGATGGGAAGCCCAGAAAGACCAGGAGCCTCTCCTACCCCTTAACTTGGCTAATGTGTCAACCACCCACCTACCCACTCGCCCTAGTGTCTGAAACATGTATGACGCATGGCTCCTCCTTCTCCTCCTCCCTTTTCTCTCAGGTATTAAGCCCCCTGGCTTCTTCCCTTAAAATGCTGGAAACACTCACTTCACCAGTTTTCCATTCATGTAGCAGCGCTCCTGGCTCAGGCCCTTGTCGTCTCATTGTGGACTAGAGCCCCTGAACTTCTCACCACCTCTCCTATCCACCTTCCACCAGAGAGGTCTTTCTGACTGTAGGTTTCCTCCTGGGAATCACGTCTGGGTCTGCATCAAGCAGAGTCCTAAGCCTGGGTCAACCCTTTGATCTTCTTTACATTTCCAGAATTGTATCCAAAGGAACTCAAGGCAGGGTGTGGTGGCTTACGCCTGTAATCCCAGCACTTTGGGAGGCCAAGGGGGGCAGATCACCTGAGGTCAGGAGTTCAAGACCAGACTGGACAACATAGTGAAACCCCTTTCATACTAACAACACAAAAATTGGCTGGCTATGGTAGTGAACGCCTGTAGTTCCAGCTACTCAGGAGGCTGAAGCAGAAGAATCATTTGAACCCAGAAGTTGGAGGTTGCAGTGAGCCAAGATGGCACCACTGCACTCCAGCCTGGGTGACAGAGGGAGACCCTGTCTCAAAAAATAAAAATAAATAAAAAATAAAAATACAAACAAAGGAACTTAGAAATCTACCCAAAACTTGCAAATTCACAAGAATGTTCATCACAGCATTAATTCTAAAAGCTGGAAGTGTAATTTCCAACCTTATCTTAATTGACATATCAGCAGCATTTGACAGTTAATAAATTCCCCTTGAAACCCTTCCTTCACCTCCTTCCAGGAGACCACACTCTCCCGGTTGTTCTCCTACCACTCTGGTCACTTCTCAGTCTCCTTTGCTGCTTCCTTCTTATCCCCTGACCTGTAAACGTTACCCAGGGCTCAGGCCTCAGGCCTTGTCCCTCTCTTGGTTCTCTCATGCAGCCTCAAGGTTTTAAAGTCATCTATATGCTGATGATTCACAAAGGTTCATCTCCAGTTCAGACCTGCCCCTGAATGCCAGACTCATAAATCCAACGGTCTGTTTGACATTTCCATTTGAATGTCAAACAGGCATCTCAAACTTAACACATCTAAAAGTCAGCTCCTGGTGTTCTCCCCAAAGCTTGCTCCTCCCTTGGTTTCTTCCATCTCAGTTAGGGCAGCTGCCTTTTCATTTGCTCAAGCCAAAAACTGTGGAGTCATCTTTGAGTTCTCGCATTCATACTTCACATCTGGTCCATCAGCAAATCCTGTAGGCTTGACCTTATGTCAACCCCTGAATTCAACCACTTTTTGCTCCCTTTGCTGTCATCGTCCTGGTATAAGCCCCTATCATATCTCACCTGCTTGACTCCAAGAGTCAATTATCAGGTCTCCCTACTTCTGCCCCGCACTTCAGCTCTCCTCCGCACTGCAGTTCAACGCCCTCTCACGGTCCCATTCTCTCCCCTCTTCCCCAGCCTCTTTGCTGTTCCTGGAACAGGCCCCGCCAACATGCTTTGGCTTTGTGGCCTGTGCATAACTGTTCCTCTACTGACACCTCCAAGCATGGCTCATCCCCTCGCCTTCTTCGGGTCTCCAGAGTCACCCGGCCATGCTGTAAAGCATTCCACACCCACGCTTCATATTCCTCTTTCTTGCTTTTCTTGCTTTTTATTTTTCCAAAGCACTTTTGCTATCTGCCTTTTTATGCATTTTGAGGATTCTGTTTATTGTTGTTTCTCTTACTAGAATATAAATTTCAAGAGAGCAGAAATTTTCCTCTTTTTTTTTTTTCTTTACTGCTGCACTCCCCTGTGCTTAAGGGCACATAGTAGGTGCTCAGTAAATAAGTGGTAAATGAGTCAATAAATGAAAGATTGGAGTCTTCTTATGCGGCAGTGGAGGAGGAAGGAAATCGAGAAGTACAAAGTAGGTGTGTTCAGAGAATTCTGAGGCCAGTAGCAATTACCGTTGCAAAGAGCAAGCCAGCAGGGCATCCAAACCCCATGTGACCACACCCCATTCCCTACCCCCACCCCCACCCCGGAACATTGCAGTCCCGGAACTGGAACTGTCGCTCGCGGGCCCCCCCCCGACCCGCGCTAGAGCACTTCCGGTGCCGCGCCTCTCAAGTTCGCGCAGAGAACTGCCAAGTCAGTTCCGGTCCGGCAGAGAACGCGGAGAGACGCGGAGCGCCGCGAGCTCCCCCTGGGCCCTCCAGGCCCTCCGGCCCCGGGCTGGCGGGTGAGCTGGGGGGCCCCGGGACAGGCTGTGCCCTCTGCCCTTCAGACACTGGAGGCCTCCGCTGTGGCTGCCCACTGGCCTGGCCAGGCTCAGGCCTTGAAGCCGTGGTGAACCTCTCTACCCCACCCCACTTCGGTGATTGATGGCGGCGGCGGCTTCTCCCAGCCAGTACCCCAGCCTGGACCCTGCTGGCCACTGGGTCTCCCGGCCCAAGTGTGCCAGGTCTCGACAGAGCCCCAGCTGAGCGGCCCGGATGCAACGCCTTTGGGTGGCGGCGGGAGGGGTGGACCAGGAAACATGGCGGCCGCTCGAATGCTGCGCAGCGGAGGCCGTTAGGTCATAGAGGGCCTGGGAAGGCGGCCTAAGGACGCAGGCAGGCTCGACTGCCTTTGTAGGCCACGGAGCCATGCAGATCCGGGTCCCCAGTGACCACTCCGTCCCCATTGGGCGAGACCTACCTAGTCCTGACGACAACGGACAAAGGCCTTAACAGGCCTGGGAGGTGAGCGAAGTTCCGAACGACGACGGGTGGAACGGTTAGCGGTCATCGGGCTGTTAGTCTTCATTCTACCAGACCTTGCTGTCGGAAGAGAGAAACGGTAGAATGACAGGCGATGTTTGGCCCGTTGGAAATGCCCACCACCCTCTGGGAAGATTTACTGGCCGTTTATGGAAGGCCTGTGTATATAATATGAAAAAGCTGCTCTCAACTCCACCCCAACCTTTTAATAGAAAACATTTGTCACATCTAGCTCTTCTAGATGTAAAGAGGTTGCCGACGTATGATAAAGTAGAGTTAGAAAACCACACATCTTGTAAATTCTCGTTTGTTTAAAAGAAATCATAGAAAATACATGTCTTCTGGAGATGACTTTTGGAAATGGAGTTGTTAGATGGCCTCTGGAAGTGATACATCCATGTTTGTTCAGTGGGTTAGATGACGTGGAGCTGGAAGACCTGAAAAGGAGGAGAAGGAAGCTCTATGCTAGACTGGTCATATTTAGAAGACATTTTCATATTCTAGCCATTGTTTTGTGTGCATTTTATTCTTCACTACTGTATATATAGTTGACAATGCTAAACTTTTTTGAAACGTCTGTTTTTAGATGTTCTGAAGTGCCTGATGTTAAAATTAGAGGACGTAAAATCAGATTTTGTAAATATCTTTTTGTTACAATTTGTAGGAAATGTTTTTTTGCGGGGAATGGCCAAATCACCTGTTGAGTAATACTCAGTGTGTGTGCAGTGGTTCAGGGGAGGAGGGAGGAAGGGGAGGTGCAGAGAGTTCTATGCCACCCTGCTTACAGCAAGGCAAGATGAATTATTATCTCTGTGCATTTTGTTTTATTTACCTGTGCATATAGTGTACATAAAGGACAAATGAGTCCCAACTTTAACAACATCTGGTCTTTCTAGATGTTAAAGAGGTTGCCAGTGTATGACAGAAGTAGAGTTAGTAACTTGTACATTTTGTACATGTTTTGTACATTTTGTTTTACAAGTCTAGGAAAGATTGTCTTCTGAAAATTTGAGCATTCTTGCCCACTGGGTTGATGGAGATGGGAAGGGTTCTAGGCCAGAATGTTCACATTTGGAAGGCTCTTTCAAATTATAACTGTTATTACATGTTTGCAGTTTATTCAAGACTGCTGTGTCATAGTGGACAAATTAACTCCTTACTTGAAACATCTAGTGCCCGATGTATGTTAAATGTAGAGGTAGTAAAATACCACTTTGTAAATATCTTTTTACTAAAATTCATAGGAAATACTTTTGGAAATTGAATTGTGAAGCCACCTTTGTGAGCAGTATAGTACTGTCTCTATACTCGTTCAATGGTTTAGAGGAGGTGGGAGGGAAGAAATTGCAAACGGTAATATTCTAGTGTGTTCAACACTTGGACATTTCAGACACTTTTTCTGTAGGTTTTTTGCATTTTCTTTTGCTCTGTAAATATTCTAGTGTGTCACACTTGGACATTTCAGACACTGTTTTTCTGTAGGTTTTGTGCATTTTCTTTTGCTCTGTATATAGTGTATATAATGGACAATGAGTCCTAATTTTTCAACATCTAGACTCTAGATGTTAAAGAGGTTGCCAGTGTATGACAAAATATTTAGTAAAATCAGTATATTTTGTACCCTTTGTGATAAAATTCATAGGAAAACTTGTCTTCGGTAAACGACTTTTGCGTTGGAATTTGTTCAGTCATCTCTAAGCATTACACATGCCTATACTTGTCCAATGGATTGAAGGCAGAGAAGAAAGAGAGGAGGGGATGATTCAAGGCCAAAATGGTCATATTTAGAAGATACCTCAGATGATAACCATTGTTATGTGTGTGCAATTTTAGTTAACAGTGCTGTGTACATGGTGGACAAGTTATATGAAATATCTAGTCTTTCTAGATCTTTGGAAGTGCTTGGTGTATTTAAAAGTAGTAGTAGAATAACACTTTTTGTAAATAGCTTTTAAAAAGTGATGGGAAATGCTGTTGGGAAGTGGAATTGTGGAACCACCTGGCAGGTGGGAGGGAAGAAGTTACAAAAGGTGTTTTGCCATTGTTTATTAGAAAATTTCAGCTTAATCCATTGCCTATATGTTACATGCATTTCATTTAACTTTGCTATACTGTATATATTATGTATATACTGGACAAATGAGTCCCAATTTTATAATATCTAGTCTCTAGATATTAAAGAGGTTGCCAATGTATGACAGAAGTAGAGTTAGTAAACTAACACATCCTGTATACTTTGTTAAAATTCATAGAAAGGCTGTCTTCTGAGAAAGACTTTCGGAAGTGAAGTAACATCAGCTCTAAGTGACACATGTGCCTGTATCCACCAGGTTGGTGGTGGTGAAGAGTTGGAAGGAACGAAGAGTTCTAGACCAGAATGTTCCTATTTAGAAGACACTTTCATATATAACCATTGTTACATGTGTGTAGTTTATTCAACACTACTGTGTATATAGTGGACAAACTTAAGTCCTAATTTGAAACATCTAGTCTTTCTAGATGTTTAGAAGTGCACAAAGTATGTTAAAAGTAGAGGTAGTAAATAACACATTTTGTAGCTGTCTTTTTGATAATATCATCTTTTGGAAATTGATCTGTTCTCTGAGCAGTACATTATGATATCTGTGCAGGTTCAAGGAGAAGGAGGAGCATAAAGAACTTTCCACCAGTGTGTTTATGATGAGGCACATTGATCATTGTCCCTTATGTCTGCATTTTCATTAACTGTGCTGTGTATATAGTGTATATAAGCGGACATAAGAGTCCTAATTTACATCTAGCCAATGTTAAAGAGGTTGCCGTTGTATGACAGAAGTAGAGTTAGTAAATTCAATACATTGAGTATATCTTGTGTTAAAAATCATAGGGAAGACTTCTTAAAAACAGAAGTGAAATTGTTAAAATCCCCCCTAAGCTGTCCATGGAGTTGGTAGAGGTCAGAAAGGGAGGTAGGTTCTAGGCCAGAATGTTCCTATTTAGAGGACACTCAAATTACAGTCTGTGTTATGTATACATTTATTCAATGCTACTGTGTACATAATGGAAAACTTCAGTTGGAAATATCTAGTCTTTCATTGGATGGTGATGGGTAGGGGAGGAAGAGATATGCAGGGAGAAGGGTTCTGTGCCCCTGAGATTAGTTCAGCTGGTCTAACCATTGTTCTCTGTGCATTTTACTTAATATTATGTATTAAAGGATAAACAAGTCAATACTCAGAGTATGTTAAAAATACATATAGTAAATCAGTCCCTTTATGAATATCTTTTTGTTAGTTTTTAAGAAGGCCTGTCTTCTGGGAGTGACCTTTATTATTAGTCCACCTCTTGGAGCCAGACATCCTATACTTAGTCACTGGGGATGGTGGAAGAAGGAGAAGACAGGGTGAAGGGAAGGGCTCTTTACTAGTATCTCCATATCTAGAAGATGGTTTTAGATGATAACCACAGGTCTATGTAAGTGTTTTTAGTAAAGTGTCTGTGTTTATTGTGGACAAAGTTCATTATTTTGCAACATGTAAGCTTTATGAATGTCTGGGGTGACAACATAGAGTTAGTGAATTAGCCAATTTGTAAATACCTTTGTTGTAATTGATAGAAAAGATGCATCTTGGACATGGAATTGTAAGCCACCTCTGAGCAGTATATGTCAGGACTTGTTCATTAGTTGGCAGCAGAGGGGCAGAAGGAACTCTAAAGGGAGAGATGTATGCAGATGTGTCCATATTTACATTTTGATGCTAGCCATTAATGTATGCGTCTCTTGTGGCTGTACTATAGGAATATATTAAATAATTCAATGGAAATATACCTTACTAATATTTTAATAGCATAGATCTGCTAATGAGCTCTCTTAGAAGCGTAATACTTAGTGTATTCTGTTGCTGTATGCTTCCTTTTAAATTGAGCATTAAGGGAATGCAGGATTTAAATCGGAACTCTGCCAATGCTTTTATCTAGAGGCGTGTTGCCATTTTTGTCTTTATGAAATTTTTATCCCAAGAAAGACAGGATTACATTTTTTTTTTTTAACAGACTGAGTTGGTGTAGTGTATTTTTGGTTATCAAAATGCTCATATAGCTTTGGGATTTTGAATTGGTAAATATTCATGATGTGTGAAAAATCATGATACATACTGTACAATCTCAGTCCCATAAAATTGGATGTTGTGCCTGTAGACGCACAGGACCTAGAAGAATGTGTCAAACTATAAACTGCTTGTGATTGTGACTTTGTTATTTGATTCTCGTGTTTTTCAGTTTCCTCTTATGTACTTTTTAAAAGTAAAAGTTATTTTAAAAACATGTATTAAGCCCTCGTTGCTTGTAGAATAAAGTTAGTATACTTCACAGAAGCACAGTGTTCATGCTCCTTCATGCCTGAGGTATCTGGAATTTCACGCCTTTGACTCCTCTCTCCATTGCCTAGGTGTTAGCCACTCCACCCAGGTGCTCTGCTGTTCAGGATAAGCTTGCACTTTGGTGGTTTGCTCAAGCCATTCCTTCTGCCTATAATGCCCTTTCCACAATTTTCACTTGGCAAAATCATTCTAAAGAGCCCAAATCAAATTCCAATATCGCCACAAAGTCTTACCGATAAGAACCTGACACTCCAGTGTAAAGAGCCAGAAACTTAATGTTAGAATATAACAGCTGTTTTGTTGTTTGTTTTTGAGATGGAGTCTCACTCTGTCTCTCAGTCTCACTCAGGCTAAGTGCAGAGGCACCATCTCCGTTCACTGCAACCTCTGCCTAAAGTAGCTGGGATTACAGGCATGCACCACCACACCTGGCTAATTTTTTGTATTTTTAGTAGAGACAGTGTTTCACCATGTTGGCTAGGCTAGTCTCGAACTCCTGACCTCAAATGATCTGCTTGCCTTGGCCTCCCAAAATCTGGGATTACAGGCGTGAGCCACCGTGCCTGGCTGTTACAGCCATTCTCTTACTGCTCCTACTTGTTCCTCTTCTATATGGACGGAGCCCACTTGCATCGTAATTGTTACCTGAAAGCCTACTTGGATTGAGCTAAGGTTTAAATAATTTCTGTGACCACAGGCTGCAATATAATGCCTGACACACAGCAGGTGCTTAGGAAATGTCTGTTGAATACAACAGATGAAAGCTCAGTCTTTCAGACTGCTGCTTGGTGTGACATCGCTGTTAAGGACACTGATTGAATAGTCAAGGATTTCCAAGTTGGCAATTTCTATCGTGGCTGACCAAACCAGAGGGTATCTGTTAGAGGCAGCACAAGCTATCCCCAAATCAGGCACAGGAAACATCTCTAATGGCATACAGAGAATATGACTACAAAGAGGTTCTTATTCTCATCTTTGATGTGATGCTGAGACACTGGCCTCCAGGTGGAAAGGTAGTGTCTCTATTTCCCTAGGTGCTGATGGTGTAACCTGGGTGGGTTGGGAACTTGAGGGCAGGTAGATGAGGCCTTTCCAGTTGCCTTCCCAATCCAGTATCAGGCCTGGACCCAATCTTCTCTCCTGTTGATGCTCCTCTACAAGACAGGTCTTAGCTGACCAAGGTGGGCTTCAGGGAAGCACATATCCCTTGAATCTCTGGCCTGGAGGGAACAAACCATGTGTCCCCCCAGGTCCATGCACTTCGACCAGTCATTTCAGGCTGGGATTGGTTTGTAAGCTCTAAATCCACCAGAGCTTGAGATAAAAAAGCTGAAGCAGGACCTCTATCTGTAATTTAAGGTAGATTCACCCATAAAAGTCCAGGAAGGTAAGGCTCATAAACAGCCAAGAGCTAAGGTCAGCTCTCAGGTAGTTCTGAACCCCCAGGGCAAAGATAACCCTCAGTGGCCACACGAGGAAAGTGAGGTCCAGAGAGGGTTCATTTACTTAGCATGTTGTCCTCAAGTTTCATCTATGTTGTAGCATGTGTCAGAATTTCCTTTTTAAGGTTAAACAGGATGTAAAGAAATCGGCACCCTTACGCCAGGAGCAGACCTCAAGCTATGCGTATTGCCAGGAAGAGAGCACTGGAGGCCAGGGGCCTCAGCTTGTGTCTAAGCTCTGTCACTGGCTGGGGACTGGCCAATTGACCACATCTAGGCCTCAGTTTCCTCAGTAAAATGAATGGTGTGTTCTGCCTCCAGATCAGATGCTGGCCCTTTCAAAAGCCATGAGTTTCATCAGGGGTAAAGCCAGAGCCAGAAGCTTCTAAACACCATTCTCTACTAAAAGGAACCATGGACCTTGGAGAAGTGGCAAATTCCAGGGCTGCAGCAAAGAAAGTCCAAAACCATCTTGGCATATCTTGTTATGGCAGGAATCAAAGTGCTCCAAGAATGATGGGGACATATCAAAAGGACACAGAAACCAGCTTGAAGTGGCTTCCATTGGCCAAATCTGTCACAATTTGAGTATCAAAATGTAGAATGACTTGTAGGATGCAGATAACACATTGAATAAAACAGGAAGCCATGAGTCCAATTCTGATAGAAATAAAGAAATGGACTGTATTCCCAGCCATCCTGGAGGCTTTGGTGGAAGGATCACTTGAATCCAGGAGGTCGAAACTGCAGTGAACCATGATCATGTCACTGTACTTCAACCTGGGCAACAGAGACTCTTTATTTTATTGTTTTTTTTTTTTTTTTTTTTTTTTAGACAGAGTCTTGTTCTGTCGCCAGGTGCCAGGCGGGAATACAGTGGCACAATCTCGGCTCACTGCAACCTCCACCTGCCGGGTTTCACTGCAACCTCCGCCTGCCGGGTTCAAGCAATTCTCCTGCCTCAGCCTCCCGAGTAGCTGGGACTACAGGTGCGTAGCACCACACCCAGCTGATTTTTGTATTTTTTTTTTAGTAGAGATGGGGTTTCACCATGTTGGCCAGGATGGTCTCGATCTCTTGACCTCGTGATCCGCCCACCTCAGCCTCCCAAAGTGCTGGAATTACAGCCACCACACCCGGCCAACAGAGACCCTTTCTACAAAACAAAAATCAGTCTGGGCACAGTGGCTCAGACCTGTAATCCCAATACTTTGGGAGGCCGAGGCAGGAGAATCACTTGAGGTCAGGAGTTCATGACTAGCCTGGCCAACATGGTGAAACCCAATCTCTACCAAAAAATACAAAAATTAGCTGGGTGTAGTGGTGGGCACCTGTAATCTCAGCTTACTAGGGAGGCTGAGGCATGAGAATTGCTTGAATCCAGGAGGTGGAGGTTGCAGGGGGCTGAGATCCCACCACTGCACTCCAGCCTGGGCAACAGAGGGAGAACCTGTCCCAAATGAAAAGAAAAAGAAAACAAAAGAAAGGAAAAAGGAAAACAAAAATCAAGAAATCAAAAAGTAAGTGTTGGCAAGAACGTGAAGAAATTGGGACCCGTATGCACTATTACTGGAATTGTAAAATGATGCAACTGCAGTGAAAAACAGTATGACAGTTCCTTAAAAAAATTAAAAATGGAACTACCATATGATCCAGCAATGCCACTTTTGAGACATCCCTTGGTATACGTGGGGGATTGGCTCCAGGACCCTCAGCATACCCAAATTGGTACATACTCAAGTCCCGCTGCAGAACCTGTATATATGAAAAGTTGACCTTCCCTGTCTGCGGTTTGGCATCCCATCACTGCATCTGATTGAAAAAGAGACCCATATAAGTGGGCCCACATTGTTCAAACTCATGTTGTTCAAGGGTCAGCTGTGTATCCAAAAGGAAAGCAGGGTCTGAGAGAGATACAGCACACAAGTTGCTTAACCCTTGGAACTTTTTTTTTTTTTTTTTGAGACGGAGTTTCACTCTTGTTACCCAGGCTAGAGTGCAATGGCACGATCTCTGCTCACCGCAACCACCGCCTCCTGGGTTCAGGCAATTCTCCTGCCTCAACCTCCTGAGTAGCTGGGATTACAGGCACACGCCACCATGCCCAGCTAATGTTTTGTATTTTTAGTAGAGACGGGGTTTCACCATGTTGACCAGGGTGGTCTCGATCTCTTGACCTCGTGATCCACCCGCCTCGGCCTCCCAAAGTGCT